ACCCAATTCACTGAGTTGTCAGGCCAGTTAATTCTTGTAATAATTAGGCCAACTAATAAGTCACAAAATTCTTTATGTAAAATTATTTGTGCATGAAAGGACATACTGTATAAAGCGGTAAAGTTGGAAAATTCAGACATCTTTAAAACCCTAACCTGTTGTTAGATACAGGGTGCAGCCGCACACTGATTCAAGATTATCCCGGCATGGAACATGGAGGACAGATGATGGTGTGATGCATCCACGGAGATGTGAAACCATGTCCGTGGGTAGAAACAGAAGTGACTATACATGGACAAAGGTGGAAATTACGAATGCCGAACCTAGTCCACAAAATGTTATTGGGAAGGGACTGGGAAGGAATCGAATGATTAATAGACATGGGAGAACAGATTAATGTGGAAGGGTTGACAGGAAAGGAGACTATCCAAGGCGTAGATAAGAAACAAATTGCAATGTGGCAGCAAGATGACCCCGAATTGCAGAGGTGGTTACAGAAAGCTACGCCGGAGGATGAAGATAATGAGAGAGAAAGACAGTTTCTGCTAAAAGGAGGCTTGTTGTACTATAAGGGAAACGAAAATGCAGGAAAAGAGATGCTGGTAGTCCCGGTTAAATTGAGAGACATGGTGTTGAAACTAGCCCATGATATTCCCCTAGCGGGGAACCTAGCTGTAGAAAAAACATTATCCCAAATAAGTCAAATATTTTTTTGGCCAAACTTGCGGAAAGAGGTTGAAAAGTACTGTCAGTCGTGTGCAGAGTGCCAGAAGTCACAAGTAAAACCCCCACCAGGCGCACAATTGATCTCACTCCCCCTAGTGGACAAATCTTTCAACAGAATTGGAAAAGACATTGTAGGCCCCTTGACAAAATCCTCTGCAGGACACACTCACATATTGGTGATGATTTTGATAATGCAACTAGATACCCGGAGGCCATCCCCTAAGATCCATTCATGCTAAAACATTAGCCAAAGAATTGATGAGAGTTTTCACCAGAGTAGGTTTTCCATGTGAGATACTGACTGATCAGGGCTCCAACTTTATGAGTCCCATGTTCAAACATCTGTGGGTAATGTTGAGAGTACACCCGCTGAAAACATCAGTGTACCAACCACAAACAAATGGTTTCGTTGAGTGTTTCAATAAGACACTGAAGGGAATGCTAAGGAAATTGGTGGTAGAGAAACCAAGACAGTGGCACATGTTATTGGGACCACTGATGTTTGCAATTAGAGAGGTGCCACAGGCATCCACCATTCGAACTGCAGTCGTGCCCCACTTAACGACTGCCTCGCTTAACGAGGAAATTGCTTTACGATGAGGTTTTTGCGATTGCAAAACGATGGTCTAAATGGGGGAATTTCACTTAGTGATGATCGGTTCCCTGCTTTGGGAACCGATTTTTGCTTTACTACAATAAAAAACAGATGATCGTCGGGCTTCAAAATGGCCACTGGCTGAAGAAAATGCCCCCCCGGTGTGCTTAGGGATGGATTCCTCGCTGCACAGGCATGGAAAATGGCCGCCCCTATGAAGGATCTTCACTGGATGGTGAGTTTTCAGCCCATTGGGTTTTAATGCATTTCAATGGGCTTTTTTATTTCGTTTGACGATGTTTTCACTCTACAGTGATTTCACTGGAATGAATTAACATTGTCAAGCGAGGCACCACTGTACTGTATGGGTGCAACCTTAGAGGCGTGTTAGACCTATTAAGAGAGCAATGGGAAAGTGGAGAAAGTGAATGAGGACAGTGGTACAACAAGTGTTAGAAATAAGAGAACATTTGGAAC